TCAGCAATATTAGATAAGATATTTGTACTTTTGTCAAACTTAGGTGCGGCCATATTACAATTCAGATCTCCTAAGACGTAATATTCGATATTTTCTGAGTCTAGTTTTCCAATAAGTTCTTCAAATGGTCTAAAAAGATCAATTGAAGAATCAGGGGGTCTATACCAGGTCATAACGGCAAAAGGCCTTGATCTGGGCTTCTTGATTTCGACAGTCAGACTTTCTATTTGTTCACATATTAGATCAGAGCGAACAGAATAATTGATTTCGGAACGAATAAAAAAACAAACACCCCCTCCAGACCTACCGTTAGTAGAGCGATCTCTACGAATAGATTCATAGCCAGAAATATGAATTTCATTATCGCCTATTGTGTCATCCAATTTAGTTTCATTTATGGCTAAGATATCGATAGGTCTGTCGGAAAGCAAAATTCTTAGTTCATCAATGTGTACAGAAAGACTATTGATATTTAGCGAGGCCAATTTAAAGCCTCGTTTAGGCGGGAGAAATTGGTGAGAAACGATTGGATTTCCAAGGTCACGATTACGCTCTGAATTGAACAGGCGCTCTGAATTGAACAGACGGCCAGTAGGTCAATTACATTCATGTAATTTATTCGCGAAGTTGTTATACATTTTGGCAATACCTGTCTCCCCAAGATGAAGTCCTCCTCTATTTAAGTCCGTTGAGTGAATGTCATCGTGGAGTATGAAGTGCCACTGTCGCTGATTGCAGAATTTTCGAAGCCTTTTGTTGACTGCATCAACATCGCCGCTATCTGAGAGGTCCGATCTTGTGACCAGCTCTGATATTATTACTTGTGCGTCCGTGGAGCTTTCAATTTCCCTCGCTAGGTCAACGATGTTATCGGCGATTTCGCTTGGGGATAGTTTTCCAAGGTCGTTAGTACCAGCATGTAAAATGATCTGGTCCGGCTTCTTGTCCAGTGTTGGTTTCACATAATGTGACATATCACTTGTTGTAGCTCCCGCGAAGGACTTTACAACAACCCGGTGGCCGACTTCTTTCCCTAATTGCCACCCTTGTATGTTTCTGATAATTGAGTCGCCAATAATGACGGTGGTCGGCGAGGATCTTTCTTGGTTGTGGTTAAGAGTATTAGAGCTGTTGTGAGAACTCTTGTTTGGCGGCTTTTTCTTGCTCGATTTGCTTTGGTGATTCTTCGTTGTTTTGGAAGATTGAGATTTAGATGATCCATTGTTTTGCTTTGTGTCCGCCTTTGTATCCGACCATTTTGTATCCGACACCTTAGGATCAACCGAAGGCGACTCATTAAAAGCTTCCTTGCTGTCAAGGCGAAAGTTATATAGCTCCTTGCTTAGCAATGATACTACCATCTGCAGGGAATCTCGCTCCTCTTTTGTTTTATCTAGATTTCCCTTCATTAGCTGAAGTTGCTCTCGCAGAGCGCGATTTTCTTCCTGTATCCGTTGTTGATTTTGACATGATTTACAGGTTGACTGTATTTCTCTACTGTCCGTTAATCGAGATCTATACAAGTCTTTGAGTTTGTTTACCTCATTTTCCAAGCGGTCGTATAGATCTTTAAGGGATTTGTAGCCATTGCATGTGTGACTCTGTTGTTCTGGGCTGCTGCTAGTGTCGTCCAGGTTTATAACAGCCGATGGCCGAGGTGACGGTTGGTTGACATTGTGGCGGGGAATTTGAATTTCACCAGATCCTGACAAAATCGACTCCTTGAGTCTTTTAACCAGCTCAGTTTTCCTGCCAGATTTAGAGAGCTTTCTTTTTTCAAGTTCGTCCCTTAGATCTTTCACCTTCAGGGAGTTGACGGACCGTCCATTTAAAGCATTCTTGATAGCAGCCATTTCGCTCATTTCAAAGGACGAAGAAAGCGAACCGTATTCGGGTACAGAAGTAGACATATTCTTGTTATTAATCTGATCAGCGACTACCAGAGTTGAGTCAGTATATACTTTACTCAAATCAGGCAAGGAACTGGTCTTAACAAGCCGCGGTCTGGAGATAAAGCGATCAGCCTTCGGAGCTAGGAAAACGTGTCCATCCGCCATATTATGCAAATACCTCTTCTTCTGTTGTAATTAAGGTGGTGTTCCATACCCTACGTTTACCAATACAGAGCTCTGTAAACTTCTAAAGAATGGTTATCGCATGGAAAAACCTGATATGTGCTGCCATGAAGTGTGAGTAGAATTTTGTTTTGAAATAATTGTCACCCTGCCGTTTTATTCTAATTGCTAACAAATTTTGTTTTTTGACTGGATTTCACCACAAACTCTAATAAAAATGTGATACCCTTTTCATACTTGAAAGATATGAACTGATGACTTCATGCTGGGAGAACGATCCCACAACTCGCCCCAGTTTCTCGGAGTTGATTGACCGACTGGAGGCTATTATGACGAGGGATGTAACATACTGCGATCTGTCAAATTGCGATGAATCGAGTCCATACTATAACATACAGGACATGGTTGACGAAGAAAGCGAATGAGATGTATGAATAAGGGTTGTCGCCTAGTAATCACCTCCTGGAAGATAACATCACCTCCGAGTTTCTTATGTTATGGATAATAGCTGTAAAGATAAGTTTCTCGAAATTTCTAGAATGCCTAGTCATGCTGACATGCCTACGTTGGATGCAATACTAACGAAATTGTTGTGTTGTAAGCTTCCGGAATTTTCTAGAATACTTTGTAAATGTAAATAAGGATTCAGCCGTGTAGTAGAAGTTAGTTGCTATTGTCAGGAGTGACCTACTTGGGAAGCTATACCGAAAGATAGCTACTGTGGAAGATTGTTCATTTCGGAGTTTTGAAGACGTGCGACTGTGAGATTGTGTCAGTGGTGAGCTAAGATATAAACTGTAGTGACCTCAAGTAAGTATATTGAGGATAATTTCTGTACTTCCTTTAGGAGTCGCTCCTCATTAAAATGCGAAAATTTTCAGCCTGGCCATCAGGATTTCGGTCTTTGCGACCGACGGCATTACGATAACTAGGCATAACCGCCGTCTCACATGAACAGATCTCAAAATTTAATAAAATTTGGAGATCAGAAACTCATTAAAAGTAATCACTCCATCAACTCAGGTTTTCTCAGGTGGCTTTATTTATGCGTACCAAAGAATCTTTAAAAAATTTTCATCGTTACATTTAGTAAGCCGTTGCGGTGTGTGCAAAGAAAGCCCTTGACGGCGGAAGTATCAAACTTTACTAAGCACCTAGGAGAAAAAGTACTCACCATTTATCATCGCAAATCGTTATTCAAAGGCAAATCCTCCAATACTATCCTCGACTTCCTCGAAAAGTTCTTCTTTCGAATGACGAACCTTACGTTGGCGTCAAATAGATAAGGACGAGTATTACCTTTTTCATAGTTCGTTCTCCTTTTGAAATAATTTAGGCTGTTGTCTCTATTGTTGTCGCTGACCGAGTTTTCCACGGAAAGAAAATGATTCTCGCAGCGAAGAAAATATCAGTAAGCGCATGAGTGTTCAGTTAGCCATTTTAAAAATATTAAAATTCAAACTTGGCTCCGAGGCTTGGGGGAATAAAACAAATGAAATCACACCGAGGTTGAGGGATGAATGATATATTCCTTTTGTTTCCCCCCTCCCCCCCCCCCCCAGCCTTGGAGCCATGTTAGAATTTTAATGCACTGAAAGTAGCCTATCAATGACCTTTCAGTGTCACGCAATGCTGACAAATGTTTATTGACAGCTCTCATTGTGAGTCTCTTCTGCTTCTTCCCATTCATTCGACTGTATCTCGCTCAAAGCTATTATAAATCATCTCAGTTGTTTCAAGCAGCAGAAAATGGGATGATATCTGATGAAGTAGGCTACGCGGTATTTATCACTTGCACAGACTATACTTTAATGTCGCTATGCTTACATAATCTTCATTGTTTTCTTTGACTTGCATCCAAAATACTATTTTTATTTTTTTTAATAAAACCAATTTTATTTGACCTGCGAATAAAAACCAGTTAGACCAATGGTCCTCGCTGGTTAGCTATCATGAAAGCAAATGCGAAAAGAAGCTAGGCCTGAAAATACTCAGGCTTCGAAGGGATTCGAAACCATACTCTCAGATACTAGTTGGGCACAAACGACTGAAATACGTTGCCAGCGAGGCACATTTTAGAGGTTTCTTCTTTCGCGTGTAATTTTAATTTTGCATGGATAAAAGTTTGCTTCTTTTTTTATCTTAGCAAAATATGATTTTTTAATAATCAAATGTTATGACTATATGATTACAACAATGTATAGAAATACAGAAACAGTTACTTCTACTGACTAAAGAGAAAGTTATCGATGATTTTTAAACAGCCTGGATGGTACTATTTAGATCACTGTCTTGTCTTTCAGGGCCTGTAATCTTCCCTATAATGTACTTGTCATCATGAAATATTTTTGTCCATACAAGTTCAGTTCCTTTTTTGTAAAAAGGCAAGAAAAGAAAACTACTTACACAGGTTGTAAACGTACCTCCCTTCCGCCAATAGCTATCCTTCACTCCAGCGATTAAATATAAGATTACAGCTAAATAAAGTATTGTATTAATCAAATATACAAGCAATCGAAAGCACAAGATAATAAGTGCCCCCTTAAATATTAAGTGCACTTGCCCCGGCGCCATATGGCAAATTTTCATTTCATTCAGAACTCCAAGAATCATTGTTACAAAGAACGCATTCAGGGAGAACGTAACGCAAACTGCTACCATAGCTCTAAATTTGTATACGGATGCGACGATTGAGGAACTTGTGCTCTCAATAACATCCCCTATGACAAAGAGCACAAATACAAATAGTAAGGTCCAAAATTTCGGCAAACGAATAAGATTTTTGATCATAGGGCAGAAGCCGGTGAAATGCGGAGATATGAAAACTGCTCCAAGAAAGATCCAACAGTTCACTGTGTCCAAACAATTTAAGGCCATAATCAATCTGGAGTAAGCTTCTGTCATGCCGAAGTAGCGCACAAGCTGTGATGGAAATACGTGAGAGGCATTTTTGGTGCTAGATGATACATTTAAGTAACTCTCCGAAGTGAAAACGGGCGATACTGATTTTCCAAAATAATAAATGAAAGTGAAAGTAACCACTAATTCAGCCAGCAAAAGCAATAAATACATAATCATGGAAAGCATTCGGCCGAGGGAGGGCTTGCAGCAAGTACACTTTCGTTGACGGTTTGGTTCCATCTCAGTTGATATCATCGAGGCCATCTCCTCCGTCTCATTCATGGTTCTTGGGGAATCTAGGTCAGGGTGGATAAAGTCAATTCATCAGAAACTCCTTCGAAATGAAAAATACTGACAATCCTGACTGAAACGGTCATATTAATCTCAAACGCTACCCAGTAGACCATGACCGAGACAATACTCGAATCGTAATTAACCGAGATACGCCAAAACATGTCAATATGTCACAGAAATATCCCTTGGCACTTACCCAAATCTAATTGCTGTGCAGTGAGAATAAACCCAAATCAGCTTGGTCAATATGTTCGGAAGATTTCTAGAAGACGATAAAAAGAACAAAGAAATCAAGAAATGATTAACTGAAAAGGTAGTACTAAGTTCACAATTAGGCTATTAATTTGACGATTTTACATTTTGCTTATCCCTTTCCACGACGATATTAGCTCAACTTCACTACAATCTTAGCTTCGAGACACGCTTCTACCGTCCAAATACACCGAGGTTTTCGTTCTGAGAGAATATTACGGTACGACTGAATTCCTCTTCGAAGCTTCATCTTACTTACTGTCTGTTGGCCTGGAGAAACTGAGCGGTTTATTTTGCCGTTGTGTTCATGTCACGAAAATTCACTCCGCTTCGTTTCAGTTCTTGATTTTAACGTCATGAAAATGACACAAAATGAGTATTTCGTATTGATTATCCCATAAACTACACTTATTCATGCGACTATAATATGAGCGAAATAGCTGAAATAAAACTGTACCAATCGGATATATCATTTCTTCCGCTTTGGTTGTCTGGGTTGCAGTTTGATTGACTTTCAGTTCTATTGAGGCATAAGTAATCTGAATATTTTCTATCGCCGCACTGATCATAAAGCCGCTGAGTCACGTCATGAAAATGAAACAAAATGAGTATTCCGTGATGATTATCCAACAAACTTCACTTATTCATGCGACTATGGTAAGAGCGAAATAGCTGAAATAGAACTGTGCCAATCGGATATACCATTCCTTCCGCTTTGGTTGTCCGGGTTGCAGTTTGATTGAACTTCGGCTCTACTGAGGCATAAGTAATCTGAATATTTTCTATCGCTGCACTTTACCTCTTGGTACTTGTTCAAATAAAAGCCTTCATCCGCAGAAAATTCAATGATATTCTAAGATGCGAAGAGAACCATTAATGAGGTCGCCTTTGCTCTTGCTGAGCTGTTCTGGAAATCAAAGCGAAACTAAATCCAATCCGGGACTTCCTCCGAAAACGTTTGCTCAAATATAGTTCATTACATCATATGCACGATGGTCGGTTGCCAAGGGTTTTCCTCCCGCAACTCTGATGCGCGCTGGCGCAGAAATCGTCAGCGGCAGTTAGCACGAAAAGTAAAGGCCTATTCAAAAATGGCGGCAAATAATGACAGCGCGAGCACATCAAACAAACTCTGTTTAGGGCATTACGGCATGGAGGATGAGACAGAGAGAGGAGACCGGTTTTGGAATACCAGCTCCGTAGAGATGAAGTTCTCTACGGAGAAAGAATGGTTGAGGAGGGTTCGTTTCGCAGAAAATAAACCTAATTACGGGATGAGAGACCTTGATCCCGTGTTGGAAGAACTCACAGGCAACAAGCTGGAGCTTGTTGGTCCCCTGGTGGATGGCTTCCTTTAGGAGATTGAGCTGTCTATTAATGCGAAGCTCGCTCGCTCTAGAATGACCGGTCTTATGGCGCCCATCACTCTCTTTATGCCATTTCAAATCTTTAAACATATCTGGGTTTTAGTATAAGGCTACGGGGGAAGCGCGGACACAACTAAGAATGGTGAGAGAATAACGCTAACTTTCCAAAGGCTCGACACTGCAGAAAAAATTTGGTCTCCCGCGAGGTTTCAAGGAGAGAATTTTCTCAAGAAGCGGCACTTCGAGAAAATCCCCGAGGATGGTCGCGTGCTTCAAAGTTATAGCGGCAAGTCAATTGTTATTGTTTCACAAACTACGCCGCTTCAAATGGTTTATTCAACAAAGGGTAGTAACCATATTTTGCGTGCAGCGCTATGGTCGAGAAGGATTTGCAAAGGACTCAAATTTGCAAAAGCCATTGAATTTGAACACTATCTTGCTTGACAGTTAATTAACAGTAGGACTTGCTAATGTGTTGTTAGACCTTGTCACCAAACTTCATACATCAAAAGAATGACAACCCTGAATGTAATCTGAAACAAAGTTCTGAAGGAAACATGTTTTTAATACAAGCAGATATTTTAAAATTTAATCTTCCTATCTTGTAGACT